CTGGGGGGGGGCGGGGGGTGACGTTGGGGAGGGCCGCGATGAGGCCCGCGGACGCGTGATTCTGCTGAGGCCGCTGACAAAGGCGGCCGAGACCCGAGGCGACCAATTTATTTCTACCGGGAGGAGGGTGAAGTGAATCAAAGCCTCTGTTTCCAGATTTAGTTTCAATTCATTTCTAATAATCTCCACCGCCTCATCTGGAAAAAATCAAACAGGATTAAAAAAAAAAAAAAAAAAAGTGATGTCATTAAGAAAACATCTGACTAATTTTTCTTCTGACGAAGCCTTAATATAAGTGGGGAGGGGGAAGGGATGTAAATTAAAAGCAGCCCCAATCTTCCCTGGGCCACAGAGCCAGCCTTAATATATAAGCCATGAAAGAAGTTTTCTTACATATACAATAAGTTCCCTCTTTCATCAGTACTCACAGCTTCTCCCAAAAGGGTTGTGAACTTCTTTGATGCAGGCTCGAAACTATGTATTCCTAGGTTTACGAGCCTTCGGAGGCTCTGCCGATCAGACTGTGAGGCCGACATCCAGAATGCATATAACAATATGGAGAGTTTGCTGTTCATTTTCTCAAAGCTAAATTGGGCAGAAATGCTGGAGTCCCTCAGAACAGGAAAGCTCCACCCTGGCCAAAAAGGTAACACTGGGAAAAAGATCAAGAATTCAACCCAAACACACTGCAGCTGGGAATCCAGGCAGTAGTTCAACATAAGGCTGGCCCTGTGCATACAGACCAAGTTGGAGAGCAAGTTCCTGCTGCTGGCTCCGCACGGCTTTACCTAAAGCCTCTCACTGCTGCATGTCTCCCTCTGTAAATGAGAACAGCAATAATCTCACTCAGGTCTGGCTCTCGTAAACACTTCTGGGCAGGAACCATCTCTATTGTACGCGTACAGTTCTAGCAAAGCACAGTCCCCAGTTTCTGGTCTTCCAACTGGACAACGGGGATATGAGAGGACCAGCGTTCATGTAGAAAAGCAGGCCCCAAAGGAGTGTGACTTCTGCCTGGGAAAGCTCTCGGCAGGAGGGATGCACCCTCTGCTCCCAGCTGCCCAGAGCCCGGCTTTCCCCCTCTCCTTGCAATTGCTTTGCCAGCATGACTTGATCCCTAGCCGCGAAGTCCCAGACGTGCTGCCACCCACACGCAGCACACGTGGCTCTGGCCGCACGGGTCCCCTCCTGAGCAAGGGAGCAGCCCAAGTGAGCTGCTGCTGCTGCTCCTTGGACATGGGGAGGGTAACCAGGGGACAGGAATCGCACCGGTGGCAGGAGATGCTGCCCAGGCCCTCAGCTCCCTGCTGGGGAAGCAGAGCTCCTTGCCCCACATCCCGCAGCGGGATATCCTCTGGGACAGCGAGTTGAACGGCTTCGTGCAATGCTCCTGGGGGTGCCAGAGCTGGTGCAGAACAAGTGGTGAAAGCAGGTGGTTATTGGGGAAGCCAGTTAATCCCTTCATAAAGCCACAGACCAAGACTGAGCCATGTCTTTTCACTAGAGATTATACAACGCTTTACTTGACAGGCCAAAACGAGCCCGTGTCTGCCTTCGTTACAATCCCTGATCTTTGCATTTCTTCCCCAGGCCCTGTGCCATATGCTGGGCCCTCTCTAACATAAACATATCACCATCCTACCACCAAGCCTTGGGCTCCACTTGAGCCCCAAACCTCGAGTCAGTTAACAAGCAAGAAACATCAGACAGCAAGTGGGAGCCACCAGTCCTTAAATAAAGCTCACTGACCACAGCCCCTTGCTACCTGCAGCAACACCCTTTGCTCTCTTCCTGGGCTCCGCAGATGGCACCAGAAAACTGCACAGTGCCTGGGGCGATTTCCCACCTATGCTGAAGTCAACAGTGTAAAAATCTCGCTGACATGAGCAGGACAAGGGATTACACCTGATCATATATATTGCTGAAGAACCTGGGATTCTGGTTTTCAAACAGGCTAAGGGAATTGGGTGTCCAAACACCATTATATTTAATGGGAGCCAGGGGTTTGTTTTCCCCGAGGTGCCGGCAAGAAGCCCAGATTCTATAATTAATGCTCAGTACTTATCCAGCAATTTGCATCTCCTTCGAACCACGTGAGCCCCACTTGTTTCCTCCACTGCCCGCCCTCCTCTGGCCAGGAGCAGCTGCTCTCTGTACCACAAAGAGAAACTGAAGCAGGAAACCCCCTTGACCATCGAGGGCCGCCCGGTGACTCCCACAGCTGCCAGCAGCCCTCGGCACG